TGCTATATTTTGTAATGTATTTCACCACAATTAAATTCTTTTAAACATGAGAATTATCTATGTAGGTTAGGTAATAAGAAATGACTTGCTTCATCTGTGCAAGTTTCTCAAATGTCTATTGAATAAAAATGAAATTTCCATGTAAAACCAAAAAAGTTGTGGTGTGTCTCCTGACAAAGAAGACCTTATATTTTTACTATGCCTTATTTAAACAGGAAGAAAACTTGGGTAACCACCTTCCTCAATGAAACTTGTTATGGTGTAGGGAGTAATCAGACAGAGAAAGCAGAATCAGGATGAGACATTCTTCTGTTTGTTCTCTCAGCCAGAGTTCTGATGATCTCTTCTCTGTTTTCTGTCACTCCTTGTGGATTTAAGCCACTGACAGTGGGAAGGGAGAGGACCAAGGATAAAAAGAACAACTGGGAGGATTAAGGAGTGCTGCCTTTCCTAAGTACTCCTATGAAAAGCAATGCTGTAATCCACAAGGCCAATGTAGGGAGTGACTGCATAGTGGGATTCCCTTGTCATGCTCATGTAGATACTGAAGAGGAGGTGGCAGCCTCTGTGCTTTGCCAGAGTTCAGAGAGGGCTACAGGGAGTGTGTTTTCAGGTGCAGGGGTCTCAGTGCCACCACTATCTCGGGACATGAGCTGGCACTTCTCCTTAGGCACAGGGCAGTGCATTTTTCTGCTGGAATTCTGAGAGGCAGAGACTATATCCATGAGCAGCTCCTAGTAGGTGTATGGCATTTGGTTGAGTTCAGTTTAGTCACCACTGGCTCTCTGGTATTTGGCACATGGGACTCAGGCAGATACTGCTTTCCAAAGTTGAGGGTCTGCTTCCTCTATGCAGATACAAAAGGAAGAAATAGGGAGTGGGGCTTGTTTGACTGAAGACAGAAGCAGCAATTACATTTAGGTAGATATAGATGCGGTGAAGTTGAGAGCAGTGTGTAAAGTGGTGGCAGCCATCAGAGGTCACTGATAGCTGATGCTGGTCAAACGTGTTGGCGCATGCAGGCTCATCTTACTTTTTCTTCACATGTGTTGCAAAAATTGGCTTTCATTGGGTAGCATTTGATACTGTATTAGGCAGGGACCAAAGAGAGTTGAGTGGTGTCCAGCATGTACACGTATCATAATAGAGAGATAGAGATTAAAGTCATGTTTCAAAAGCCAAACTCGCCTCTACCTTTTAATGCTGTCATTTTCAGAAGACAGCACCCCTCACTTTTGATAATTCTGGAGATAAGCAGAACAGATTAAGTTCTAAAGTCCATTTATTTGCTAGGTTAGCCCTTTAAAATTAAAAGAAAAACTTCTAACCAACACATCTGTAGAAAAAATAGCCGTATCATCTTAAAGGGTAACAAGACAAAGGAATTTCCAAAAGGATGTGACTACACTGACAACTGAGGCTTCTCCCCAGTGACTTCAAATCTGATGTGATGTTTTATAAGACATTTAAAGAATTAACAAGATACTTTCACAAATTCTTCTGATACACAGAAGAGGAGGGAATACTTTTTCCAGGCTTATCCTATTAAGACTGTTTTACCCTGACACCAAAACCAGACACTGATCACAAGGAGAACCAATCAGCAGATACAGAGGACCAACTGTTCCAGGAAACAAAATCCAACAACTGTGTATACAAATATCATACACCATGTATTAAGTGAAGCCCAGGAATGCAAGGTTGGTTCAACATGCAAAATAGAATGAAGGCCAAAAGCCACATGATCGTCTCAAGAGATGCAGAAGAAGCATTTGACAAAATCCATCACCCTTTTATTACAAAAATACTCAACGAGGGTTAGGAGGGAACTTCCTCAACTTGATATAGAGTATCAATGGAAAACCCAAGATTAACATAATTAATAGTGAAAGTCTGAAAGCTTTCCCCTAAGATGAGGAATGAGACAAGGATGTCTGTTCCTCTACTGCTATTCAACATTTATACTAGAGGTCTTAGCCAGGGAAGTAGGGCAAGAAAGAGAAATAAATGGCATCTAGACTGAAAGGAAGACGTGGAACTTTGTCTATTTGCAAATGACATGATTTTGTATATAGCAAATCATAAAGAATCTACAAACATATTATTAGAACTGATAAACTATTTCAGCAAGGATGCAGAATACAAGATCAATATACAAAAATCATATATGAGAGTTTGATTCTAAAAGCATTTAAGGCAAAAACTGTACATAGTTCCTTAAAATTGTTCCACAAAGTGGACATAGTTTTCTGCATACAAACCTCTACAGCATTTATATATAATATATACACAATACAGTATAACATTCAAGAAACGATTAAAGAGCTGCACCTTGATCTACTGAGACAGCACTTGGCTCTCATTGATTTCTATGTATTCATAGATTAGGGGAGAAATGTGTCTTTTCAACTCTCAAAACAGGCAGAGGGAAGATGCAACTGGGTGTCAGAGACACCAGCTTCCTGGACCAGCTGGGCAGAATTGGGCAGGCCCTGAGTGAGCAGCACAGATTGGAAACAGGTTTGGTCTTGAATGTGTCAGGAATAAAGGGCATGTAAAACTTACTGCCTGGTCACAGACTCTTGGTGTCCTGAAATCTCTAATTCATTGCAAATAAATGCATCAGAAGATAGTTTAATCTCACAGGGAGTGGCATCCCTACCTTTTCCATCTATTAGAACTTGTATTTTAAAAAAGTCCTCAAATGTGTAAATTTATGCTTGTCTGATCTTCTGTAAATAACTGATCTGTGCCTGAAAATTGTCTTTATTCTGTCATTTGTCTCCACCCTCCATTAACCCTTCAACTCTTCCCAGCAATGTAAACCATCCCTGTTCAACGCCCGGCCTCACACCTTGTCCCTTGAGCACATCTGCAAGAGGCTGTGCCATGTGTATGACCATTTGGGACTGGCTGCATTCATTGCTTGTGGAAATACATCAGCCAGGTGGAATAGCTGGAATCCTCTCCCTACACTATTATTTTTTTTCTGAGGAGGTATTGCTTCATTTATACAAGGTGAATGCATGTATGTGTGAGTCTATAGAACAGTCAAATAGCATCACAACAAATTAAAAAGTATGTGACAAATTGAAGGAAAGAAGCACAACTTTACAAGGTTAATACTCTGTGAATAAGAAATTACCATGAAAAGGCTAACATCCCCAAAGAAAAATAGGCAAAGAATATACATTAGGCAATTCACCAAAAAAAAAAAAAAAAAAAGCTAACAAATATATAGAATCGTTCAACCTCACAATAAATCACACATCCAGTTCTTCACTTATTAAAACAGCACCAACAAGGAACATCTGTACTTTAAGAATAACAGAAACTCAATATACTCCCTCTCTTAGATAGGTAATTTTTTTTCCTCATGAGCAATCTGGAAATACATGTTAAAAGCCGTAGAAAATGTTTGACTCATTTATGTTGGTGGTTGTTCTGGTTTATCATCAGCAGATAGTCATATTATGTATGTGTTTATATCACAGTGACTGATGTTGACAGCAAAACACTTAGGAGCCACCTGAATGCTGTGATGATAAAGAGTATTTCATCTTAATGATGCTATGGAGCCAATAAAAACCACGTTTTCAAGTAATACTTAAGATGAGGCAAGTGCTTCTAGAAAAGGGGTTGATTTTCAAATGGAAATGTTACAGAGGACACTTAGGGTCTTATGAAAAACTTCTACTCTAATACAGAGTTCTGGATATTTGCATCATGTCTGGAAGGAAGCTATATTTGACAAGTGAATATATTCTTCACCATTCATTTCAGTTCAGCACAGAATGTGGGAATGAAAATCCAAAATCTTTTTCGATCCATATTTATAAATATATAAAATTACAAATGGTAATATGCTTAGAACAAAATTAAGGAAGTAGAAATAATTTGCTTGGGTCCCTGGACCCCATTCAAAGATTTACAATAATACATTTCTATCCTACACCTGTTGAGGGCTGATCTTTCATATTATTTTTAGCATGCACAGTAATCTGGGTGATGGGATTCTGAGCGGTTTGTATTTTATATATATATTTAAAATGTTCTAAAATGGACATGTGCTATTTTAAAAATAAAACAATCTTTTAAAGACAAAATCAAAATCACTAACACTGTTTTTCAGTAAGATGCAAAACTGACAAAGTTAAATAAATAGGTCATATGATTTATTTACTTTGTGTGTATAAAAGTAGTTAACACAAGTGAAGTTTAGACAACACTGGGCTGTTCCCAACCTAATCTTGGCAAACACTCTGTGTCTGGGTTTGGGTGCCACCGTAATCTGGAGCGAATACTCTCGGTGCACAGCGACCACCACCAGTTGTTAGGTACAGGTGTTTATGCACAATTCACACCAGGACCCATAATCACCAAGACGGAAGATGGCTAGCACTTCCCTAGTTCACTTTGTATTTAAAGAGAACTCATCTGGGTACAGTCAATGCAGTTTTTAAAATACATTTTAAGAAAAAATAAATATTCTGCACAATATATTTACAAAGATCAATTGTTCCGCCCCCCACCCCCAATTAGTATAAAATTGGGAAACTATAATCTGATAGTTAAGAAGCATATTCTTGGCCATTAGTGTCAGTTCAGCACAGAATGTGGGGCTGACAACCCCAAATATTTTTGAACCATATTTATAAATATGCAAAATTGCATATTTTAATATGCTCAGAAGAAAATCATTAAAGAAGAAATGAAGCCGGGCTCGGTGGCTCAGCCTGTAATCCCGCACCTTTGGGAGGCTGGGGTGAGTGGATTGCCTGAACCCACGGGTTCGAGACCTGCCTGGACAGCGAGACCTCATCTCAACAATAATCAAAAAATCAGCCGGGCGTGATAGCGCGCGCCTGTGGTTCCAGCTACTTGGAAGGCTGAGGCAGAAGGATAGCCGGAGCCCAGCAGGTCGAGGCTGCGGTGGCTGGGAGCAGCCACTGCACTCCAGTCTGGGCAACAGAGTGAGACTCCGACTCAAGAAAAAAAAAAAAAAGAAGAAATGAGTTACTTCGCCCTGACCTCCTTCAAAGATGAAACTACATAACAATGCACTCCTCTCTCTTGGAGGGACAATCTTTTCTGCTTTTTCTCCCAGGGGCCTCCCGACACCCACCCCACTGCACACTCACTACTAGCTTCACACACAATGCACGATGTAAAGCCTGGGACAGGGATGCAGTGGGGCTGCCTTTAAAACTTGAAGAGGTCGATGAAGTGCTGTGGAGACACAGGCGTGAAGCAACTGTCGGGGTCGGCCGCCGTGCAAGGGTGTCCTGAGTCCTGTGGGAAGGAGGGAGATGGTTAGGAGGCCTACTACTGCCAGTCATACCTCTGGAGGGAGTCCTGAGTCGCTTGTTGATGAGGACTGTGGGCCCCACCTCAAAGGTTTGTGGGAAATCACTTGGATGAGAATGACTATTACAGGGGCAGCCACAGCAGTTTCCAAGTTCCTGTTCAGGGCAGGCAGGAGACAGGAGGCTCCTATCAGACCTCCAAAGCCACATCTGGTCCTGAGTTAGAGGAATCAGCCACCAATACCACCTGAGCTGCCCCAGAACCTACGTGACTACAAAAGGAACCATGTGTCTCTCTGACCTCCTGTCTGGCCATTCCTCTATCCTGTCTTCCCTAGTCCACTTTGTTACTCAGAGTAACATTCATCCCTAGTCAGCTCAGGCCCCTCCCATAGGCAAGGAGGAGGTATGGACTTGTGTCAGCCGATGCTTGCTCCAGGGGAGCTGGCCATGCTCATGACCCAAGATCCAGAATTCTACTTAATAGAAGTGACTAAAGAAAAATAAGTTTTGTGGAGGAAATTTGGCAAAATTTTAGGAGGAGCAAAGGCAAATGGGACCAGAAGCCGTGAGGTCAGCCTTGGGTCTCTCCTGTACCTGGTGCTGCTACCCTGAGGTGCTGTGTGCAGTGTCTTTTATTGAAATTACATATTTACGGGCACATGTAGTGTCCTTCCTCAGCACCCATGTGTTGGTCTGTGAGATATTCCATGAAAATACTCTGGTCCTTGCTGATATGATCACAGTGGCCGCTCAAGTCAGCAAGAGCTGAGAGCAAGCCAGGCCGGGGGCAAGGAAGATGTGTGTAAGATGCCACACCACGTGATGTTTTTATCCCAAACACAGTATGTGTGGTAACATATGGAAGTACCTTGAATAGTAAAGCAAGATGGTAGTCCTTTGAGATCATGAAGAAAGAATCAGGAAGGAATGCAGTGAAGGGAGGAAAAAAAGGAAAAATTAAGATTAGAAAGAGCCAGACTGTATTTAGGCATTTAGGTCTGATGCATATTATTTATGAAAATAACGAATAATAACAGGTAACCAAATTGTGCAGTACTAAGTATTATTAAAAGCATAAAGGCACCATCAGATAGCCCAAATTCTCAAACTACTTCTAGACAGTCTTAAGGCAAATAAAAATATTTATATTTACTTTTAAGTCTACCAGATTGACAACTAATGAGGCTGTAAATAATCTCCAAAATTGTTCACTGAAAAATACATAAAGAAACACTAATATTTCCATGTACAGTTTATACTGAAAAAAATTATAATAGATTTTTTGGAAAGTCTTTTTATTCCTTCTTTGATATCCTGAGGACCTGCTCTGGGCTCAATAATGCTCATTAACTCGATTCTACATGTGCCCAGAAGTTATGTGATCAACCTCCACCTTTGACACTTGTTTCTTGAGGCCAGATCAGCATGGAGGCCACTTTCTAGCACACACCTACTGCTGTGGCCTCTGATTAAAGCAGGTAGAAGAGTTTAAAAAGTAACTCCAGTATAGTGAAGCCAGAACAGATGGAAAATCAACTTGGGAGCAGATGAAGAGGCTCCAGGGCAACTGCTAACCAGAGAGCTCCACATAATGTACTGTGGAAAATGATAAGATCCTGGACACAAAGCCCAGACGGATGCTGCCTGGTGTCAGCTCATGACCACATCTGAGGGCCAGGCAAGGGTTTAGAGTCACCAACTCCCACCGTGGTGGTTCATAATAGCTGATATTACTTTAATTTCTTAGTCAACACAAATGATTTATTGGGATGCTTTAAAAAGTGAGTAGAAATCATAGGAGCCACTTTTTTAGCACCAACTCTGTGCCAGGTCTCACTGTTACACCTTCACAGGCACCCTGCGTGGAAGGTCCTATCATCAGACTGAAGCTCTGGGAGGAGGTGGCTTACATGGGCCACACAGCTGGAGGCAAGTCCAGGTCTGCCAGACTCCAGTTTGGGCATGGCTCCCAGGCCACCTACCTATGTAGAGTCTTATCAGGCAAACTACGGCAGAGCTGATGGGAGGCAAAACAGGAAGTATCAGATTGCCTCAGGCATTAAATTAGGAGAGACTGATCTTTTAAAATATTTTCATGCACTGATTTGGAAATGAAAACATGGACTTATGACCAGTGCTTTCTGGAATGACGTCTGGTGGGAGAAGCTGGATGCGACCACTTCACTGGGAGAGGCTACAGTGAAATGAGACGTCATATAGCCTCCAGGGGCAAGACCTGCATGTCCTAGAACTAAGATGACTGGTAGATGTCTTCACTAGGAGAGACTTGTTCTCAGTTTCCACAACATGATAGGAGGGTTCACTAGATACAAGAATGACAAGCAAATTATCTTCGAAAGCTAAGAATCATTTCTCTCAATTAAAAAAAAGTCAGAACTTACATATTTCAGGAAACTTTGGGAGCATATTCTTAGTTAGCAATATTTGCCTAATCCAAAAATCCAAAATCCGAAATGTTCCAAAATCCAAAACTTTTTGAGTGACGACATGATGATACAAGTGAAAAATTCTATATATAAGTACTTAACACAAACTTTGTTTTGTGCATAAAATTATTAAAAATATTGAAGAAATTACCTTCAGGCTATGTGTATGAAGTGTATATGAAACACACAAATTTCATGTTTAGACTTAGATCCCATCCCCAAGATCTCATTTTATATATATGCAAATATTCTGAAACACTTCTGGTCCTCAGCATTTTGGACAAATGATACTCAAGCGGTATTGCCTAACAACATAGAAACTAAGGAGAGAGTGTTTGTTTCTATGTTAATTACTCAGTAGATAGGAAGAGATCCGATATTCTTAAATATTGTTCTGAGAAAAATATTGACTATCATATACAAAACTGAAAGCTTTCTATCCCATGAATAGTATTTTCCCCTAGAAAAGTATCATTGCTCTTAATATTTCTGTAGCATAAAAAGTAAAAAGAAAAGTAGCTCGGAAACATTAACTAAAACTAGAAATTACAGCTTTTCATCTACATCCTTGTGTTTTGTTGGTGTTGAGGATTTTCAGAGAAGCATGGATATTAGTCCTAAAAGGAGCTGCAGAGAAGGGTGGTCCTGTTCCCTTCAAGGCTAGGTATCAAAGCTGGAGTGAGAACCTGGACTCCACTCACTTGGGCCCTTTCTTTCTGTCCACAAGCATCTGCTGTGGTGTCTGCTGCAGACAACTCACCCTCATGCCCTGTGACTGGGGAGAAGACTGTAGAATGAGGGCTCTCTCCTGCATATCTGTATAGCTGTAATCTCACTGATGAACTGATTTGCTGACTTCACCAAGTTGAGAATAAATTTGAATATAAGAAGCTCCCTGTTCTTGAGGTGCAATACTTTACAAAACAATTGTATTACTGCAAAAATACATAACATCTTGCATCTTTTTAATTTCAGGAAAGAAAGGATATAAATCAATAAATATAAAACAATAGAAATGAAATCTCCTAAGTTATTCATGCATCAGTAACGAGTCATGATGCTGCATACCTTTGATTAAATAAAACTATTAAAATAAGGCAGGGAAAACAGCATCTTTATGTTTTCTCCTCAACCATGGATTATAAAAATAAAAAAGCCATACTAGTATAAATGTAATTTGAGCTGAAAAAAAGTAGTTATCTCTTTTCAAACAACCTAGAGCTTGCCTTGTTGCCCACCTGATAACAAATTCAGATACGTATAAAACACAAGAAGTAATCAAAAAATGTTCTGGTATTACCTCCCTAAACCCAGAGAAGGCAAGAGGCAGGATCTAGACCTGTACAGGCAGAAGGGCTCCCTCCCTAGGGCAGACTGGAACTCTGCAGGGGCAGGGAGGCTATTCGCTGCAGGGACTGGGCTTCTTGGTTTCAACACTTTTTCCCCAGTGAAATCTCACAACATTCAATATGTTCAAACATAAGAGAAACCATGGAAACTCATTCCAAAGTGACACAACATTATCATATTAAGAAAATAAATTATACTGGAGAAGTGGTATACAGACATTTAACCTCTGACTGCAGAAAACATATATTATCAGAGACATAGTCCAGATAGGGAGAAGTAAAACAAATAATAGAAATAGGATGAACAATTCCTAATTTACTTTTTGGATATTGAAATTGCTGAAGATAATGTTTCTAAGTTTTTCACTAAAGGATTAGATTTGCAGATAATGATAGTCTTGTTAAGTTTTGATCAAATGAATGAAAAGGTACAGATTTATTTTAAAATCTTTGACTTCTTTATGGATCCCTTTGCTTGGAGAAATGAAGCCTAAGACTAGTCCTGGTCCACTGCAGACACAGTGGGCATATAAAAAGAAGACGCTGGTCATCAGAGTTTCAGGCTGAGGGCCGCATCTGGAAAACAAGGAGGATTCCTCCTCAAATGTACAAAAGGGGAGTTGCACACCAGCCTTCATCCTGAAACTGAGAGTTGGCAGGGCACCCAGGGCCACTGCCATAACCTACCCAGGACAGACACTGCACTGCTCCCAGGGCACTCTTAACATTCTCGAAATGAAGAAACAGAGTCACCCATGGGAAAAACAGATCAAACATCATGTTGGTTTTCAACAATTCTGATTCAAATGACAAGTTTTATATTTTGCTTTTATGAACACCTGTTCTCCTACCCCAATTTTTGTGAACTATATCTCAACTTTTTTTTAATCACCAAAAGCATTTTCCATCTTTAAAAAATATAAGTAGTGTTTCACCAAATGTCAATTCTCAAATTCAAAGAGAATATTTAAATTATTACCTTCCAAAAGAGAATGCTGCAGTGCCGACAAAAATGTAAAGTGTCTCCATACTGTTCTTTAGTTGGATAATATTTCTGAAGTGCAAAATACATCAGCTTCCATTCAATATGACCTTTTTCTGAAAGGATCAAATGTCTACAAAACTAAATAGAAACAAAATTCTGTTCAGAATGAGCAGAAGATGATTTTCAAAGCATAACATTAGGTGCAAAACTTTTTAAAAGGCAGTATAGTGAAGGAAACATTTAATTACTTGAAATTAATTTACTTGGATTAATTCAACATGGGATGAATCAAACAAATCATGATATGTCTATAACACCAAGCAGCCATTAAACAGATTTAAATATTCTGATCTGAAATGATGTCTATGATACACTATTAAGTTAAAATAAGCTATACACATATATTTGATAAGAGACTTATATATGGAATATATAAAGAACACAAACTCAATAATAAAAATAACCCAATATTTTAAATGGGAAAAAGGACTTGTAAAAACAGTTCTCCTAAGATATACAAATGGCTAAAAACCTCATGAAAATATCCTTGAAATGATAGTTAATATGGAGACAGGCAAGATGGTGATGGAACTGGTCAGAGTGTGAGAGTCTGCACAATGAGTGTCCATAAAGACTGTGTGGGTAGATGTATGCTAGAGGATGAGTGAAAGTCCATCTGAGGGGCGACTGAGGTTCAACCACCTGGGGTTCTCCTCCAGAGGTGACTACAACCCATCACTGCCCTGAGATTGGAGTCCCCCCCACATGCAGGGTCATCTGCCATTCTCGGGGGTCTCTTGGGAGGAGGCAGTAGAGATCAGCTGCTCTTCAGCACCTGGCACCTGACCCATGCCACCACCTGCAGCAGCAGGCCAAGTGCTAACAGCAGGAACTGTGGAGAAGGTGTAGTAAGGAAATCTGGAAGTGAGCCCTGCTGCTGGTGAGGAGATGTCAACTGCTGCCATTTTCTCTGTCTTGGGAAGGGCAAAGACCTGTGTGACCCCACCTAGTTCTGTCCAGCCTCCTATCTGAGACCCAGAGGGCTATCTCCAAACTTCTCTGGGATCAAACATCAGACATGGAGAGACAGACACCCCTCCCCAATGCTGGACCAGGCACAGACACATCTGAGCTGAGTGGGTGACTTGGCAGTAGCAGCAGCAGAAGACAAGTTGGGTGAGTCAAGATTTGATCCACATTCCTCCCACAGCAGTTCATGGGGCGTCTGACCCAGGCTGAGAACAACCTGATAGGCCTGCGCTAAAAGTGGAGGGGATGGGCTGGAGATGAGAGCTGCTGCATAATGTGGTGGCAGCCAAAAGCAGTGGCAGTGCTTGGGAAAGGAACCTGAAGTTCCAGAAATGGCTTTCTGTTTTCGTTTGTTTTTGTACTTGCTTTGTTTGTGTTATTTTATTGTTGTTTTTTAGATTTTCTGTTTGTGTATGAGTATTTTTGAGGGCGAATACTTAAATGGGTTTTTGTTAGTATGGTTGTCTGTTTTTTTGTGTTTTTTGTTTTTGTTTGTTTATTTGTTAGTTGGTGTGCCTGTTTTCCCTCTTCTTCTTTCTTTTCACCTTCCTTTCATCTCCCTCCTTCCTTTTTCCATTCTTTTCCTTTTTCTTATCTCATTTTTCTTTCAGGAGGCAAACATACACCCCCACCACATGGACAGATTGTAAGGTAGTGGGAAGTGGGCTCCAGGGGGCCTACACATGTCAGCAGATACTGGAATCTGCAGATAGCTTCTGAACCACAGCTCCCTCCTTAATCAAACCTGAAAACTGCAGAAGGCATAGTCCCCCAACCCCAGTATGGCTTCAAAATTGAACAAATCCAGAGGATCTACATAAGGAAGAACAGGGGATTGAGCAAACAGAAGTGAAAGCTATCACTGAACAACAGAATTAAAGATGAGGGAAAAAGTGGGAGTAAAACCATCACAAATAAAGAGAACCAATGGAAAAACACAGGTTCCATACAAAACCCTGGGAGGACATCAGCTGAGAATACAGACTGAGGAACTCAAACAATGAACAGCCTCCAGAACGACTGGTCTCAAACCACAAACCCAGATATCAAGATATTAATAGAGAGAATAAATAGAAATTAGGAGAGACAAGGAAAGAATGAAGGAGCTGATAACTGAGATGATGGCAATAAGGAATACAGTGAGCAAAATAAATAACAAACTGGTAAGCATGGAAAACAGAATTAACCAAGCAGAAGAAAGAATCTCAGAGCTTGAGGACCAAAATATGGAACTAATTCAATCTGTTAAAAACATAGAAAAGAAGCTTAAAAAGATGGAACAAAGCTTCCAAGAGATGTGCAATTATATCAAGAGGCTGAACTTGAGACTAATTGGAATCCCTGAGGCAGATAGAGACACCACCCTGGAACAAACATTCCATAAAATTATCCAAGAAAACTGCTCTCATCTCATCAGAGATGTGACCATTCAAACACAAGAGATTCAGAGAACCCCTGCAAGACATAAAATGAGAAGACCAACTCCTAGACACATAGTTAATTTGCTTACACAAAGTAAGTATAAAAGAAAAAAATCTGGATCCCCTCCCACTGTGAGAGCTTTTCTGTCCTTGCTTTAATCCTGCTTTAAAAAAAAAAAAGAGGAAGAAGAAAAGAAAAAAACCCTAACGGCAGCAAGAGAGAAAGGTCAGATTACCTATTGTGGAAGACCAATTAGAATAGTAGAATACTTATCTACAGAAACACTGCAGGCTAGAAGAGACTGGAGTCCAATTTTCAAAGTTCTCAAAGATAAAGAATTTCAACCAAGAATTTTCTACCCAGTTATGCTAAGCTTCATCAGCGATAGAGAATTAAAACCCTTTCCAGACATTCAATCCTTAAGAGTTTACGCTGCCTCTAGATCAGCTCTACAAGAAACACCTAAGAAAGTATTAAACATGGAAGAAAGAAATAAAAGAATGACCACACCCTCCCAAGAATGTAGAAAAAATATTGAAAACACACATAAATCAACCTAAAAGTGAAAAGAAGAACAACAAACAAACAATAACAACAAACTCTATAAGAACCCCCATGACAGGAATAAACTCTCACATCTCAATAACTAGCATGAGTGGACTAAATGTACCACTGAAAAGATGTAAAATGGCAAACTGGATTAAAAAACAACATGATGCAACAATATGCTGTCTCCAGGAGACTTATCTCACCAGAAAGGACATTCACAAACTCAAAGTAAGAGAATGGAAAACAAACTTTCGACCAAATGGAACAAAAAAGAAAGCAGGAGCTGCAATCTTAATACCAGACAAAATATCCTTTAAGCTATCAAAAATTAAAAATTTTTGATAAATGGTTCAATCCATTCTAAACATATATACACTCATATATACATAATGATATATGTAAACATATATACATAATGATAAATGGTTCAATCCATTCTAAACATATATACACTCAACATAGGAGCACCAACTTTTTATAAAGCAGTTTCTAGGAAAACTAAAAAAAGATATTGACTCTAACACTATCATAGCTGGAGACTTAAATGCCCCACTAACAACCCTAGACAGATCATCGAGGCAAAAAATCAACAAGGAGATGTGGAACCTCATCTTGGTGCTTGACCATTCATGTGGACTTAATAGATACCTACAGAACACTCCACCCAACAACCACAGAATATACATTCTACTCATCACCACATGGAAAGTACTCTAAGATTTACCACATCCTTGGCCATAAATCAAGCATAAACAAATTTCATAAGATTGAAATACTCCCATGCACCTTCTCAGACCACAGTGGAATAAAAATAAATATCAACACCCACAAACCAAACCAAAGACATGGACAATAAACAGCATGATGCTGAACAATTCCTGGGTCAACATGGAAATCAAAACAAAAATTAAAAGATTCCTAGAAACAAATGAAAACAAAGATATCTTATCAAAACCTGAGATGCCATGAGAACAGTACTAAGAGGGGATTCATACCTCTATGAACATACATGAAGAAAATGGAAAGATCACAAGTTAACAGCCTAACAAATCATCCAAGGAAGATGGAAAAGGAAGACCACCAAAACCTTAACTTCAGCAGAAGAATCCAGATCTTTAAAATAAAAGCCAAAACAAGGGGCAGAGAAGGAAAAAATATATAATAGAAAAAAATCAACAAAACAAAAAGCTGGTTCTTTGAAAGGGTAAATAAGATTGATGGAGCCCTAGCCAAACTGACCAACAAAAAGAGAGAAAAACCCAAATAAACACAATCAGAAATGTAAAAGATCAAGTCACAACTGACCCTAAAGAAATAGAAAAGATTTTCAAAGAGTACTATGTACACCTGTATGGAAACAAACTCAAAAACCTAAACGATATGGAGGACTTTCTGACATCACACAACCTCCTAATGTTGAAACAAGAAGAAACTGAAACTCTAAATAGATCAATAACAACCCAGGAAATTGACTTTGTCATAAGAAAACTACCTACAAAAAAAAAAAGCCCTGGATGGCTTTCCAGCAGAATTCTGCAAAACATACAAGGAAGAGCTGATACCAGTTCTATTGAAAGTATTACAGGCAATCGAGAAAGACAGAGCTCTCCCCAATCATTTTATTAAGCTAACATCATATTGATACCCAAACCGGGTAAAGATCCAACAAAGAAAGAGAACTACAGGCCAATATCCTTGATGAACATAGATACAAAAATTTTCGACAAGATTCTGGCAAACTGGATCCAACAACACATTTCAAAAATCATCCACCATGACCAAGTAGGCTTCATCCTCGGGATGCAGAGCTAGTTCAACATCCACATGGCCATAAATGTAATTAAATACATCAACAGATGCAAAAACAAGAACCACATGATTATATTATTAGATGCAGAAAAAGCTTTTGATAAAATCTAGCATCCCTTCTTGATTAAAACCCTCAAACACCTAGGTATAGAAGTAACATACCTCAAAATAGTAAGCGCCATCTACGATAAACCCACAGCCAACATACTGCTGAACAGACAGAAACTGGAACCATTTCCCCTGAAAACTGTAACAAGACAAGGCTGCCCACTCTTACCCCTCCTGTTCAATATAGTGTTGGAAGTCTTAGATAGAGTAATCAGACAAGAGAAGGAAATCAGGAGTATCCAGATAGGAAAAGAGAATGTTAAGTTTTCCTTCTCTGCAGATGACATGATCCTATACCCTGAAAACCCAAGAGAATCTATCAAAAACCTCCTTGCACTGATAAAGGGCTTTTGAAAAGTCTTAGGGTATAAAATAAACATATAAAAGATAGTCACATTCCTATATATCAACAATAAACAAACAGAAACTCAAATAAAAAGCACAATCCCATTTATAATAGCCATAAAAGAAAATGAAATACCTTGGCATCTTTCTAACCCGGGAAGTGAAAGATGTTTATAACTAAAACTACAAAACATTTCTCAAAGAAATCAAAGATGACACAAACAAATGGAAAATATTCCATGCTCATGGATTGGAAGAATCAACATTGTTAATATGTCCACCCTACCAAAGGCAATCTACAGATTTAATGTAATACCCATTAAAGTACCAGCATCCTTCTTTTGAGACCTGGAAACATACAGAAATTCCTGTGGAAATATAAACATCCACGAACAGCCAAAAATAATCCTCAGCAAAAGAAAAAAACAGGAGGTATCACACTTCCAGACTTTAAACTTTACTATAATAATGAAAACAGCCTGGTATTGGTACAACAGGCATGTAGACCAATGGAACAGGATAGAGATTCTAGAAGCAAAAATCTCAATTTCTCAACCAACTCACCTTTGACAAAGCCTCCACTAACAACCACTGAGGAGAGGTGAACTTATTCAGGAAATTGTGCTGGGAACACTGGCGGATCACATGAAGATTAAAACAAGATCCCTAACCTATCACTATACACAAAAACTAACTCTAAACACTGTGTTTTTATAATTCAAACAAGAAAATGTGTACTAATGAGATGTACCTGTAGCTGCTAATGGCTAATTCTAACCTAATTATTCTAGGAGGAAATTTAATATCAGTGCAAAACAGACATTTAACTTCTTTAGTTTTTGTAAGGAACTGTAAGGAGCACACAAATGGTCAACAGACATCTTTAAAATGCATTTAGGGTCCGAGTGTATAAATTCCTGTCAGGCACTCTCATTAATGTCTCTGGGGGCCTGACAACTCAGGCCTGAACGTGAGAGGATACATTCCAGGACAGGCTATGGAGGCAGACAACCTTCATTCACCCTCTTTTGAGGATTTGAATCTTCCCTCCAAAATTCTATCCAACCCTCTCTCCCGCTTCCAATGCTGACTTGGAATTCAGTCCCTTGTCTCCTACTCAAATTAACCTCTGAATTTTTTTTTGCTTCTTCCCAGTGAGTTCATCTAAGACCGTTTTCCCCAAGGTGCCCATAATCTCTGCAAGGCTAAATCTAATGACTCCTCTCTGTCCTTATTCATCTCTGTTACTCACCATAGCTTCCAGGGCTTGGTTCCCCCCCTTTGGGGGATGCCTTGCTCTGTGTCTGTCACTCAGCATTGGGGTTGGCACCCTCAAAGCCCTGTGCAGGCCACTCCTGTCACAACCTCTCTTCTCTTGATGCATCTGTTCAGGCCCTGCCTCCAAAGACCTCTCAGATGCCAACAGCTCTCCACAAGACCCTCTTCTCAGACCTGGCCTACTCTGGGGACCTCCCCAGGTCCCCCAGCCCATTAAAGTCACCTCCTAACGTCTTTCCTGTTGCTCCGTGCATTTCCATAATGCCAAGGTCATGGGTTTGATCCTGGTATGGGCCACCAACTGAGGACTAAACCTAACCTATTTTTTCTTACTGTAATTTCTGACTAAAAGATTTGAGGCGTCACAGCCTGATAAGGACTCACCAAAGAGGGTTTTATTATCTTACACTGTAAAGTCTGCTTTCCAATCTGACTTTGGCATAACATAACAAATAAAGTTAGTTTATGGCTCTGAAAAGCCATCTTTTGTGGATTCCCAGACTCCAGGAACTTTGAAAGACATTTATCTATTCTCACTGAAGTCTGTCACATATAGGACTTCTATCAGCAAACACGGAGTCTTTCCACCCTTTGTCTCAGCAAAACATCCTATCTCCTCATAAGAACTACATATGGGTCAGGCTCAGTGGCTCAGCCTGTAATCCCAGCACTTTGGGAGGCCAAGACCAGTGAACTGCCTGAACCCGAGGGTTCAAGACCAGCCTGGACAATTTGGCAAGACCTCATCTCTACAATACATAAAAAATTAACTGGGTGTGGTAGCACATGCCTGTAGTTCTGGCTACTGGGAAGGCTGAGGTGGAAGGATTGCCAGAGCCTAGCAAGTAAATGCTGGGGTGGCCATGAGTGTGCCATTGCACTCCACCCTGGGTGACGAAGTGAGACTCCAACTCAAAAAAACAAAACAAAACAAAAAGAACTACGTATTACCAGTCAAGAAATCTTTATCTCACTTATGACCTACAAGCCCCGCTTAGAAATGACCCTTCTTCCTAGGCCAAACCAATGAGAATAACACATGTATTGATGTACAGTTTTTGTAACTTTTGCCACACTAAAACTATATAATCAAGCTGCTGTTTGGCTACAGTAGACACATTCTCAGGACCTCCTGAGGATGGTATACCTGGGCTTAAGTTCTCAAGTTTGGCTCAAGAACAAACTATCTTACATATTTTACAGGGTTTGACATCTTTTTGTCAACACTTCCTTTCCCAGGAAAGAATTCTAGGGGTCTCCTGGCATCCATTCCAGCTTATTCCTCAAACATGAACAGAAGTTCTTCCAAAAGTCACAATATGTTCCACATGCTTTGTGAGCTCTCCTGAGCTTGCAGAATACAGATGAGGACCCTTGGCATGGTGCAGTCTCTGCCCTGCTTCCTCAACTTCCACCCCCAAACATACCATGTCCTCCCCCCATCAGGGTCCTTCTCTCTGCCTAGGATCTGCCCTGACCCCTGCCTTGTGCTCCAAGGGTAGAGACTGCTCCCCTGCAGAAGACACACAGTCAGCTAGGACTTCACAATGTTCAGCACAACTCAAACCCCATTCTGGGAGGAATGTGACACGTCTCCCTCTCACCTGTCTCCCTGACTATGCCCCACCCAGCCCAGAGAAGGTATTCCCACACATTTGTGGGGTGAGGAGGAACACCTGAGTTCTACAGAGGGCCAGACACAGTGCCAGCAGGGCTTCACTGTAGATGAGGAACAAGCAAACTACCCTGGAAAGGCCCCAGGCGAGTTACACTGGAACATGCTCCTTGAAGGTAGCAACCAGGCAGGAGGGGAGAGATAGTCTGTGGATACTTCAGGGTGGTGTCTGAGTGACAAAAGCAGCCTGAGGCCCACAGAGGGCATGCGACTTTTCTAGAATGTTCAGTTTAGTCAAAAGCAGAACTGGAATGTGATTCATCAAATAAGAAGGAAAGGTAATAAGCCTATGGCTTTGATGTACCTCTTTATCAACAGAGGTGAGAGAAGAACTCAACTCTTGCTTTGCTGTTTGGTTTTGGGTTATTTTTAGAATCATGTTCCTTCTGAATATGAAAAATAAATGTTACACTCTGCAGAAGAAAGACCATAAGTGATTCTGGTTGTTCCTGATTATGCAGGTGAGTTTATGTAGTATGGCCCCAGGATGGAGTCTACTAAACCTGTCAGTCTGAGGGCAAGTGGATGGTTTGCACTCACCTGCTTTTCAGCAAAATGGTACTGACACAGCTTCTTCCACAGCTGTCTGTCCTCACTGAGCATGTACAATGTGGGGGTCACCTGGCCTAAAGTGATGATGTCCCATCCATCTGAGAACCGGTACAAGATATTGTTCAGCATATGCAGAGGAAGGTCACTGAGGGTGAGGCCATTGTTCACTTGCTGAAAGGAAAACAAGGTGACATTTCATTGAGACAGCAAATGGCATTTGTTCACAAAGAAATTTAATGGCCAAGCTGGAATAAATATTTCAAAATATGGTAATGCAAAAGGGGCTCTCCTCTGTAAAGTATCACTGTGCTTGCACCTCGAAGGGTATATGGGGCCCACACCTGTGAGCTCAGGGAGGGCTGGTGCAGCTCAGGCAGAGCTGGGCTGTTCTTAGGCTGCACTTCCACATGCCAGGCCTGTTTTCAACAACTTACCTTAACCAGGAGGTTAAGTATCAGACTACTGCATATAGAAAGATACATCTGGAAAATGGTAGGACCTAAGAATGCAGAACTGTTGACGAGATGAATCAAATGCTTCATGAGGGCAACAAAGACATTCATCACAGTGTCAGGTGGGGGATCCAGGCCCAATCTGCATTGTCTGGGTGACTCAAACAGCACATGGACCCTGGGAGGCTGTGCTGGTTGCCTCAGTGATGAGTGAGGTTGATTACATTGTGTACAAGATCCCTTCTACTTTTATTTATATATTTTTTTTACTTAAAAATTTTTAACTTTTAAAAATTGAGGTTTAATTGAAAAAAATTGTACAAACTTATAGTTTGTGGTGTTTTAATGTTTGTATACATTATGGAATCATTACTACAATTCAGCTAATTCATATATCCACCACCTCAAATAGTAATTTTTTTTTTTGTGGTGAACACTGAAGATCTATTCTTTTAGCAAATATGAAGTAAACAATATATGATTATTCACTGCAGTCACCATGCCACGAAATAGCCCTCTATTATGTATTCCTTCTGCATCATGGAAACCTTTGTCCATCATCAGCCCACTTTCTAGCTTTACGATTCTAGCTTTACGATTTATAAACCATTTCCTCTCTCCCTCATGCCAGAGAGCAAATGCAATGCATCTGCCCTTGGGAGACCCATATGTGTACCTGTTCTGTGCTGAGATGTGTTGTCTGCCTTCAGGCCCAAAAGGTGGGTTGAATCCATTCAAGAATCCACTCTGCTCTGAGGCTGACCAGGGCAACCCTGTGTCAGGTTTGGGCTCAAACTGTCTTAGATTTTTCAGGTCTTAGTTAAGCTGTCTCAAAGTGTCCCATCATTACGCTAAAAGCACCTCTCTCTGAGGCTGGGTTCCGGGTATTTGGGCAGGATAGAGGCTGCCTGGTTACCTTGGCACCTGGGCCTGCTCTGGAGTGGTGCCTCAGCACCACATGCACTTCTACAAGCTTCTGATTTGTTCTTCATGAGGTCAATACGCTTATTTACCTGCATGGTCACCCAGGTCTTTCTGATGTGCCTGCCCTTCTATATCCTGCTGCATACAAAACACAGAAGCCATTTATTTTTGGCTAGAATGTGCTAATTCCCTGAATTTTGATTAAAAAAATCACCTGACCTCTCTGGACAGTGGGGTACAGGAAGAGGTGGCTGGGGCACCCATGCCTTGGCACCTCCATTTCTTTTCCTGCTCCCTTATAAGTTCCTTGCCATGGAAATGCCTGCTTAGGACTTCAGTAGAAATGGAAGCCGCTGAAGAGTCCTTTTTGTGTATCCCAATGGACAGTGCAAAGATGGAGAATGCAGCAACTGTCTGAGTCACATTTCTACCTCCCCAAACTGGGCATCTGACAGATACCTGGGGGTCTTCATGTGCTGACAATTTGCAAAACGCTCTAACGTTCTAAACAAGATTATGTAGCTTTTGTGGTCTGCAGGGCTGTTCGTCTCTTATCCTCACATGTGTGTTTCTACCTCCACAGCTGATGGGACTTATGCACAGGACTGCCTCCACTATATGGTAGTGGTGAGGCTGCACAGCCCAAGACTGGGACCCTACGGCCAGCTTGGCGCTGGCAGACTCTCAGCATACTTCTTTGGATGCAAGAACAGACTGACTAATGCTTGCTACTGACACATCTAAGCATGCTGGATTCAGTTTTAGCCCATCTTTGCTTCTAGGATACACAGTGAGCACATATGAAAGATAACATGTGTAAATTAATCCCCAACTAACAGTGTCAACTGTATCACAAGAATTAATTTTTAATCTGAACAAGTGATTTATTCTCCTTCCTTTTAAGAAAAAGTTTTATATCAGATGGAAGTTTACATTCTGCTGCTAAAAAAAAAGTTTAAGGTGGTATTCAGTGGTAGGAAAAGTCCTGGTTTAGTAAAGAGCTATTCGGTCTGGTGTGACAATTTGGTGTCTAGGTTTTCTGGCAGGGTCCAGATTTATGGCCCCATCACAATTATAACAGCACTTCATCTACACTAAATCTTGCCATTCATACATGACATGGCAGAAAAGCCTTGCTGCATAACTGATCAGAAACCATGCTGCATTTTTCCTTATACCTCCACCACCAATTAGCTACATGCTCTTCACCATCATGAAATCTCTCACTAACCTGTAAAATGTAAAAAAAAATCTCTCACTAACCTGTAAAATCCACACTAACCTGTAAAATGAACAATGCTTCTTCTTTTCTTGCTTTGGGATAGTCTCAGTTGTTGCAAGCATATATCAATGACTCTCATTCTCTGTGGAAGCACTTTTGCTGACAGAAACTCATCCCACTAGTATTTCATTTTACACAGAAGAAGCTCAGATACAGATGACTTGAGTGGCTTGCCCAAGATCGAAGTCCAGCATCACTTCCAGGTTGCTGGCCCCAAGTCTATGCTCCTCACTGCTCTGCCCTTCTTCACAGGAGGATTATTCCCCTAACCAAGTAGGGAGTTGCTTCAAGTCTCCTTGATTCTTCCTTCCCCTCATGCCCACTTCAAAGTCACCAAGTGCTGTCTAGTCTTTTTCCAGTGTCTCTCCCCAGTTCATCCTTCCTGTTCATGTTGCCATTCCTTAGGGAACTCTCCTCATAACTGCATGGGGTCTGCTTCCTTCCAAACTGGCTGGTCCTACCAAACATAGACCTCTCTTAAGGACCCTTGCAGAAAGAACGGCAGAGGCTCTGTAATGCCCGCAAAGCCCCATGTCTGGTCTACTCCCCTGCACCCTCTTTCAAGAACTCCAGGCATTCAGCACATCAAACTCTGTAGAAGTTCCCCACACCTGTTTGCCCGAAAGGCCCTTATATCCCATGGCATGCTAGGGCTGCCCATACCTGTTCCCAGAAGCCAATTCTGCAACTGTCAGGAATTTTGTGAGCCAGTTGACTTTTTTGTTGGTGGCTTAAAAATCAACCATAGTGGGAAACTGACAAATGCTACAAATCAGGGCTCTTGCTACCAGAGATCCAGCTAAGCGCTGACCAGTACACCACTACCTAGATACTTTCTATTCATTCTTTAAGTTCCACCTAAAGTATCACATCATCTGTGAACCAGTGTAACCTGTCAGTGGCCCTGTGTATCTTTGTTCCAATACCCCACTGAGTTCTCTTGTCTGTCCTGAGCTCATCTCCCTGGGACCCTTAGAGGTGCCATGCTAAAAGCCATGCTGGCTAATCCATGTATCTTCCCTTATGATGAGCCTGTGGTGGCATCCAGGAAGTGCTGATTGAGGGAAACTAAATTTCCACTGGAAATTTATTAACACTACAGAAACTTGAAATGCAGCTAAAAAAGCAGTGCATATTTGTTCTATGAGAAAGAAAAAAAAGAATTACTGACAGTCTTAAAAACGTTTCAATGCTTAATATATACTAAGTTTCTGCTTACTTTGGGGAGTATGAGAATTTCGACTTAATGATTATCAATATACTTCTTGTTAAGAGAATTCAGAAGAGAAGGAAGACTGTCAGCTCACTGCAGAAAATTGGCCCCGTATCCTGTGAGGCTGAGAGGGTACAAATTTATGCAGTGTACTTGGACTTCCAATCTCAGGGATCTATGGAAGCTCTTGGCTGCTCTGTTCTACCTACATCTGCTCATGTTACCTCGGAATTACTATGAACAAATATAAGGCAGCAATTCGCCACCAGCCAGCAGGTTATAAGACTGGGACTCATTATCTTAAGCCACCTCAGACCAACTGGGTCAACTGAGTCCAGTCCACAAATGCCTCCAGTTATTTGAACTGCAAAGAACTCTTTCCACTGGTTTCAGGTAACATTTTCAGAAACGTCTAAGTCTCTGACTCCTACAGCTGAATGTCACCCACTCCAAGGCTGCTAGCAGGGCACAGGATGTACATGCCAGACTCCTCATAGGAACACAATCATGTCTCCCACTCTGGCCTGAGAGAGCACTTGGAGAGTGTGGTGGGAGAGACCTGAAGGAATCTGCAACCCAGGAAAGAACCAAAAAAAATTAGTTCAAGGTCTAAGATGGAAAGATGTGAATGGACACAATGAAAACTGGCACTTTTATGTTTTCATTAATGCTTTCTTATTCCTCAGTTAAAGATTAATCATTACTGAGTACCATATATTCTCACTCATAAGTGGACCCTGAACATCTACCATAATATTTTAAGACAGGATTGGCAGTAGCTGGAAACTGCCAGGGGAGGAGGGGTAGGAGGGGCATAACATTAATAAGTGTACCTGATCTCAAACCAGGCAAAGTGGAGACCAAAGGTATATAAGTGGTCACCTGTATGATGACTACTTGTATACCTAATCTTGAATTGTATCCCACATTTTAAAAATAAAATAAATTTTAAAAAAGGATTGTATGTTCTCCTTGTGTTCCCAAAGCTACATGTAGGTTTCTAAAAATAAAATAAAATAAAAATAACAAATAAAAAATAAGGATTAATCATTAATTTCATTTCTGTGCCTTATTTTCCCACTTGAACAAAATGGCACAATGGTGACATCAGTCTTTTGTGCTGGGGCAGAGAGGTGGCACCACATAAATGTGCCCTGAGTACCAGGGCTATAGGGCCCACCCCAGGCCAAAGCAAAGTGTTTTCTCCTTCAGTGGCCACTGGCTGCCCTGAGAAGGACAAGCTGGAGTCCTGTATATTTCCCATATATTGCCTGGGCCTCTTCCCAGCTAGTATGAATGGAAATGAGATCCAGAAGAAAGCTTAGTACATATTTATGCCTTCTTTTTGCTCTGCACAGCCTACCTGGGTGAAGATGAAAGCCTTTTCTTTGCTTACTCCTTTCCTTCCCCTAGGTGAAATGTGCAAGCCCCATCCTTAGAGTTTCCTTGCTGTCCCACTGGTCCAAAGTTGTCATGAATCTACATCTCTCTACAGAATGTACAACAGCTAAGCCTGCTTGGAACTTCCTAGTCAGACCAGAAAGTCTGCTTCCTGGTTCTTCTCAAACTCCCTTCCTGAAGATCCTGACCACTGAAACCTCAATATGGACAATGACATACTCTACTCTCTCCCCAGAGGGCCAGCAGCTGGGTGTCATTACTACTATGGATATGCCACATCAGGGACAAAGGAAGCCTGGGCCACATGGCCTGGGGTTTCTATGGCAAACTACATGGTTTATGACATGTTTTACATATGGACTTTTATACAAGACCCACCTAGATGCATGGGGAAGATGGGAAAATAAGTAGTGCAGAGCCAGCCTATGGAGAACCCTGAATTACTACAGTGTTATTTGCAAGACAATAGAACAAACATGTTTATAACAGATGTGCTTTGCTCTTACTGACATTGAATTTTAGATTATTAGTGATAATTTCAGACTCATGATTGGGAAATCATTACTCTTATTGTAAACCCCATTTTTAGATGGCAAAGTAAAGGTATTCCAAGGCCACTTGAAGACAACTCCTTCATGTGGACCCTGGTGGGTGCAGTGATAAAACAGAATTATGATGCTACCAGTAAAATTTGGAGAATCATTTATATGACAAAGGCCACATAACTCATGCCACTAAGATATATATTCAGTTTATTATTTCTCTTATTAGTACTAGAGATAAATAAAACAATCTAAAAGACTTTGGTCAATAATGTTAACATTTTTCTTGTTGAAACTCATTTCCAGAATAAATAAATAATTAAAACCAATGACACGATTTGCACCTCCTTGATCACTGTTGCCAAAAAACTGTAAACATACACAAACACACAAACTCTGAAAAAAATAGCAAAGAAGAGGAAAAAAATTACTAACTCCCTAGAAGTAACAATTACATAAATGGAGAATTACTGGCAATACAATTTAGCTTTAATTTATTCAGTATTATCTTAGTAACTGAAATACTTAATTTCTCTTAAAGGTAAATTAATTTACCACCTAATCACCCACAGGATCAGCCCTGTTTAATGATTACCATATCTTCTGTCTTCCCAATAACTGTAAGTCATTAAGGAGTCTTTTTGGTTTTATTCTGTTTTAAAATGATTTAATTAATACTTGTGGAAGTGTTTAAAAAAAGCTTTTAAAATGCCGTAATAGTTTTTTACACATGCTTAAAAGAGATAATGAGTTTTATAATACAAAACCAGAGTGCAATAATTCTTATATCAAGATATTCATACCTTAGTCATCTGAAGATTCTGTAGCTGTTGTTGCCAGGTGAGAATAGTTTCTAATCGGCAAATCCAAATATTGATGTTTCCCACCAGCACAGATTTCCCTACTCCTCTAATAAGAATGCAGAGGGTGGAGCTTAGGTCTTGGAGAAGATCTTTGATTAGGCGAGGATTGTGGTGGTCATCAAGAACTGGAAAAAATAAAAACAAAGCTATGGACTGATACAGTTAACCACTATTTTTAAGAATGACTTAGTTTCACAACTCAAATGTCCATCCACAGATAAACAGATACACAACATGTGGTCTATACATACAACAGAATATTATTCAGCCTTAAAAAGGAAGGAAATTCTGACATGCTTCTACACGGATAAACTTTGAGGACATTATGCTAAGTGAAATAAGCTAGTCACAAAAGGATAAGTATTGTATAACTCCACTTATGAGGTACCTAGATTAGCCAAATTCAGAGAAAGAAAGTAGAATGGTGGTTACCAGGGGCTGGAGGAAGAGGAATGGGGAGTTAGTGCTTAATGGGGACAGAATTTCAGTTTGGGAAAAAGCTCTAGGGATGGATGTCCATGTATTTAATGCCACTGAACTGTCACTTAAGTGGTTAAAATTATAACTTTTTTGATATGTGCATTTTATCACAATAAAAAAGATTTAATTTCACTGCAAACCAAAATAGGCATAATTTTTGAGATATCATAAGTATAATGAGATTTTTTTTAAACTTAAATTTTTTTCTGAGTCACAATGATGGCATTAAAAAAAACTTGAAAATTTTATCTGATAGTAAATTTTCAGTTGGATTTACAATTTTGTCTTTAAAATGGTCAGTTTATACTTTGTTTTGTACTTATAAAGACAATATTTTAAAATGCTTATGCATATAAATTTCTATATTTCATAAGCTCATGGTATATAATTTAAAGTTCCATTTACATTGGCCATTAATTAACTTTTCCTTTACCATTTCCATTTTTTTGATGGAATAATTAATCAAGCAAATGCATTAAATTTTAAAAAGTATTGATTTATCTGATGCCTAAGTGAACAAGCTACATTCTTGCTAATTATGGAATCATACAGCTAAAATGAACTATGATTAACTAACCATGAAAAAGTAAAACATATTTTTAAAACTCAGGTTAGTTATTTTTCCTAATATAGCCCTTTGTATGCAAAATAACTTTTAAAAAAGTACACAGTAGTAATAGAACACTGGGACCTCTAGTCCCATCTGATGTTAGCATGTTATTTACATGATTGCTTTGGACAGCATACCTTCTGAGGAAAGATAAAAGAAAAATCCCATATCTGTATCAAATATCTAATTAAGATTCATATTAAAAGTATCAGCAATCACTTACCTTTCTGAACGATTTTATCCAAAATGTTGAAGTAATTCTTTTGTGCCACACCACTCAATGAAGTTAACTGGGATTTTGCAATTAGCTGCAATAGCTTAAAGGAAAGAGAGGGGGAAAGTTGAGCAATGTATACATCTACTTAATGTGGAAATACAAAACACAGTGGTAGATCACAAATACATGAAGACTGTATTAGTCTGAGTTTAGTTGTAGGAAACAGTCACTACCCACATTAACCACATTAAGGGAATTAAAATAAGGAAGTTGAGGCAACATCAGCTGCACTTTCCAATCTTGCATAGAATGTCTAATTAGCAGAAACTAATTTAATCCCAAAACCCTAGCTGCAAGAGAGTCTGTGAAATATTTTTAGCTTCTTAAACTCTATAGCACACCAGAAAGAAGCTATCTTGAAATTAAAAAAAAAAACAAAAACAAAACCCAAACTCCTTTTTATTTTTTTAATTTTAATTTTTTTTATTTTGAAGATGTGGGGTACAATTCAGGGTTAGGTATACAAATGTTCATTATGCAGGTACCCTTATCGACAGGGTGTGCTCCCCCCCACCTTCCCCAGGCAGATTCCCAGTACTGCCAATCCCACTTCCTCGCTCCCTTCCTAGCAGTTTCCGCCAATCCTTTTCTTATAATATTATGATAATTGTTCAAGGTCTGCTTATGAGTGAGAATATGTGATATTCAGTTCTTTATTTCTGTGAAAGACCACTTAATATTATAGACTCTAAGTCCATCCAGGTTGCTGTGAAGTTCATGGTTTTGTTCTTTATGTCTGTGTAATATTCCACTGTGTATATGTACCACATTTTTTTATCCAGTCCTCTTTTGATCGGCAGCACAGTTGGTTCCATGTTCTTGCTACTGTGAACAATGCTGAGACAAACATACATGTGCAAGTGTCTTTTTTATAGAGTGATTTGAATTCTTCTGGGTATATTGTGGGGTCATATGGAAGGTCGATTTTAAAATCTTTTAGTGATTTTACCACATTGGTTTCCACAGAGGCTGTACTAGTTTACATTCCCACCAACAGTGCAGAAGTGTTCTCCCTTTTTGCTGCTTCCTCTTCAGCATCTGTTGCTTTTTGAGTTATTGATGATAGCCATCCTGACTGGAGTTAGGTGGAATCTCAGTGTAGTTTTAATTTGCATTTCTTTGATGACTAGTGAGGCTGAGCATTTTTTTCATGTATCTGTTGGCTGCTCATATGTCTTCTTTTGAGAACTATCTATTCATATCTTTTGCCCACTTTGTAATGGGACTGTTTGTTTTTTTCTTTTTGGCACATTTGAGTTCCTTGTAGATCCTAGACGTTAGGTCTTCATCAGACATACAGTTAGCAAATATTTTTTCCCAGTCTGTGGGCAGTCTCCCTGCTCTTTTAATGGTTTCTTTGTCTTTGCAGAAGCTTGTCTGTTTGATGAGGTCCCACTTGTCTATCTTCTCTCTTGTGGCCTGGGTACTTGGGGTTTTGATCAGGAATTGGTTGCCAGTTCCAATTTCCATAAGAATGTCTCCTGCATTTTCTAAGGTTCTTATAGTTTGAGGTTTTACATTTAGGTCTTTGATCCATTTAGAGTTGATTTTTGTGTATGATGATAGGTAGGGATTTTGTTTTAATCTTCTGCATGTGATCAACCACCAAACTCCTTTTTAAATAGCAATCTGGTCACTGAATATACAAACAAATTGTTGAATATCTAGAAAATAACAGTAAAAAAAACCACTGTGACCGATCTTATGAGATAGAGAATGATGGATGAACAAGGCCCACTGCTGTATTGTCTGCTGTCCCTCTTAGGATGTTCACTCTTCCAGCTGAACTTCATTCAGCATCTTTTGGCAGTGAAAAGTGAGCTGCTTCTTTCCTTTAATGTTTTTTGTCCCATTTTATTTTTGTTTATATTTGTCCAGTATACCTTTCCTATTCTCTTACTTTAAATACCTTTGTAAATCACTGTTTTAGGTGTGCTTCTTAAATACAACTTGGCAGTTGAAGGGGACCAGCCCCTTGCCAGGTCTTGAGATCTCCTGAAGGAGAGACGGATAGGCGAAAGATGAAAATCATATACCGGACACCTGCTTCTTGAACAGATGACAATTTAATGTTAGTTAACACAGAGCTTTTATACCATTCGTAAAGGGGCAAGACAAAGAAAATTCCTTCACGTATATATGCTCTACAAGTTACCACCATCTAGTGGTCTTAGTAATAAACAAGCCAAGAACCTTGTAAACATTCAGACAATGAGTCTTATTCATAAGGCCAAAGATGATAGTTTTAGTCCAAAGTCCCGAATTACAGTCCTTGAACTGTCTCCAGAAAGTTTAGCAGTAGTCTTCCTTCTGGGGCTTTATGTCCTTCAGGGTTCTGTAGTCGCCTTTGTTGTCCAGGTGTCTTCGTTACTTTTCTCTTATCCTGCAGTACTTGTTTCTAAAGAAAACTCAAAAGAAGCTTTTAGTAATGTTTCCCAGGCCCCCAAGGTTGTTTTCTGTCTTTAGCTAAGTTGTCATAAAAGTGTCTGATTAGTATATTATGAATTCAGTGAAAAACCACTTTATAAATGTTAACTTAGAGTTTTAACTATTGAATTAAGGAAGAACCTTAAAGATAATCTTTATCCTAAGTCAGTGAAAACAGTGTTATAAATCACCTACATAACTCCTGGATAAGTGTTAGAACTTATAATGAGCTCATAATAAACTTACTATAAACTTGTGCTTCTAAAGAACCTTATGTCTAAACACTAAACTGCATAATCCTAAATCAAATAAGGAGTGAATATACTTATATCATTTTTTACTCAAGCAATATCTAGTAACTTATAACCAAGAAAAGAAAGCATTCTTGATGTGCTTCAGAGTTTAACCCTTGCATATGTTAGAAAAGGCCAAGCGGCATAGTGGGAAAATGAACCATGACATTTCCAGGTTAGCTGTGAGTACTTCGCATAAACATGCCATCTTCTTCTTTCACAACTGCACAGAATTTCTTCAGCTGTACAACAGCAAAGACGGAAGACAGAAGGGCCTCAGCTGCCCGGACTCGGTTTGCAGCCGGGGGTCCTCAGCGCACCTGGACTTTGTCAATCAGGCGGGCCTCCAAGGCTGGCTCCCAACAGGCAGTTAGTTTTAACTTTTTGATACAAACTGAAAATATTTTACTTAAAATTTTTTTTTCTTATTTTTAAAATCTTTTAACATTTATTGATATGTTTGGTCTTGATTTCATAACATGTATGTCTTTGTAGCTTTTAAAAAAGTTCTTTTCTCTCTCTCCCTCTCTCTCTTTCTGTATTTCTTATAAAATTTAGAAACATTTGCATTATTTTGCCCTAGATGTTACTTCTATAATTTTAAATCTAAATAATTCTCTTATCCTCCTGAATCCTTAGACAATACATCTTAGTCATGCTAGCTTCCTCTTCCAAGTTATGCTAAATCTGCCATTCATCTTGTTCCTCATTCCTTCCATTCCTCTCTTCTACTCAATTTTAGTGAGTAACATCTTAGCACCTCCCTTGCAATTACAGGTGAGACAGTCAACAAACTTCTACCATCTACCTTTTCTCCCTGCCCTTCAAGCCTTGCTAGTTGCACTACTTCATTGTCAGTTGCTACGGCATTCACTGTTGACAGCAGTGCTCCATCATTATCATCCATACCTGGTATTCTCATCTCAGGCTTTAATTAATGCGCTGGACAATCACTGACATCTAGTCCTGTGGACATTGTTTCTTCAAACAAAACTGCTCACGAGAACAATAAATATTCCCTGAGTTCTGACATGGCCAATATGGCTTATCTGAAGCCTTGATACAAAAGTTTGACTGGAGGATTCTGTAAGGATTACTCCACTATCTAAAGAATGTGGAGAAAGTTGAGGCCACCTAATTTTTTTCTTCCTTACAAGAGGCTATGTATTTGTTTGCCTAATGAAAGAATTCTTGCTTCATCTTCATACTTTAATAATTCCTGCAAGAAATAACCCATTCATGATGTTCTAGGTCACCCGTCCCTGGCATACAGTTTGCCCTTTCAAATGTAGGCTCAAGTCTATTTTTACCTCAGGAAGATTTTCTTGAATTATATCTTTAAATATTTGTTCCGGCTCACTGTTTTGTTTTATTCTTTGAAGATTCCAATTATAAATATGCTGAAACTACTCTCACTGTCCTCTACAGCCATAATTTTCTAATCTTTTTAAACACATGATTACTGTTTCATTTCCATTAATTTTCTCATTCCATTAAATTTCTCATTTCCATCACCCTTACTGTATTTTCCAAAGTGTCTATATTCTCTTGGGCTCTTTCAATTCTTTATTTGCTTCTGTTATGATTCTCTTGGTTGCTTCTATCCTTAGTTCTGCTGACTCTGTTTTGTCTATTCTGTCTCACTTGGTCATGCAGGTTGAGCATCTCTAATTTAAAAATCCAAAATGTGAAAGAGATTAAGAAGGCTGACTAGAAGAAATTAGAGTGTGTTTCTCCTGCATAGTAAACCACAATAGAGAGAGTTTTCCTCAGCACTCAGAGAGGTGTGGAATAGGCAGTATACCCCACAACCCATCAAAGAAGTAATAGCCACATAGGGAATACAACTAGAAATTAACTCCAAAAAGAACCCACAAAACCAAACAAAAACATGGAAGTTAAACAAATCTGCACTTGAATGACTCTTTGGTCAACAATGAAATCAAGATGGAAATTTAAAAATTTCTTGAAATGAATGACAACAATAAAACAAGTTATCAAAACCTCTGGGACAAGCCAAAGCTGTGCTCTGAGGAAAATTTATAGCACTTAAGGCCTATATTAATAAGACTGAAAGATTGCATATTGACAACCTAATGTCACTCCTGAAGGAACTAGAAAAACATGAACAAACCAAACTGAAACCTAGCATAAGAAAATAAATAACAAAGATCAGAGAAAAACCAATGAAACTGGAATAAAAAATATAAGCGGGGACTCCCCAAACTAGAATTTATTTATAAATTATTATGTATTTATTCTTACATGTTTAAACTTCAGTCACCTTCAAAGTACTCTCTGTTTGATGCAACACCTATCA